GATGCTCTTTTACTCATTTCCTAGCTGCAAAAGAAAATTCCATCACGTGCACCTGTCTAACAATCTGAAAAGAGAGGACACACTGATCCAATTTAGGAGTATTGAAAAGCCTTTGTAGGGACACTGACAATTGCAAGCTTGTGGATAACCACAAGGAGCTGGATTTCTTATCTGGTAGCAAGTTGTCACTCTTCTAAGGATTTAGCCAAAATGTGAATGGTAAGATGGAAAATGAAAGTTGGAAATGGCTGCACCCTTCTCTCCTCCCTTCTTCATCTGCTGTAGACTAGGAATCTTGAGCAAAACTGGTGCATCCCATTCTTTCCCTCCCCCAAGCTATTTTGTCCCTATGTGGCATCCCTTTTTGTCATTCCTGATAGCCAGTGCCAATCACCCAACTATGAATGAGGAGGGTTATTAGAGGAGGTAGCCTTCCATCTGGCTCTGAAAACAAGACTGGTGTTGAAGAAGGAAAGTCTTAAAGCCACTTCTGCCAATGTGGACAGCCTCAGAGAAGGCACAGCAGGGCGTGTGTGGGAAGGTGACAGAGCCAGCCCACCAGGACCAAGAGGTACCTTTCGAGAGAGGAAATTGAGAAGAATCTCTCAGCTCTAAAGACATCCAGAGGATGGTGCCAGAGATGCCTGACAGTTGGCTCAAAGCTCTCGATGAAACTAACCCTGGCAATTTCATCTTTTGGAATTAAGTGTATTTTTATCTGCATTCTTCTTAAAGAAAACAAAGACAGATGGCAAGGAGACAAGCCAATGTGAAAGATGTCGCAAAAAAAAAAAAAAAAAGAAAAGAAAAGAAAAAGAAAACCTTCAGAAGAGGAACATGTCAGGAAAGAGAGAGGAATGCGAATAGCCCCCAGACCAGCATAAAGACAGTATGGAGGGTTAGGGCCTAAGGCTGCTAATAGATCTTGAGCACAGGTGAGTGTTGGTTTGTGTGCACTAAGTTGTATCTATAATGCAAGTGGTCACAGATATTTTAGAATGATTTTAGAAAGGATTTTCTGTGTTGCATTCTTACTGCAGATATAACCAGAATCTTTCCCCATTCTCTAAAATTTCTGCTCCTTCAGTTCTTTTCAACATTTATGCTAAGGTTAGCTAAACAAAATCAAACCCTCTAAGGATGGCATTTTAAAGTTCATGACATGGCACTGGTAGGGGAACAGTGCCCTCCTAAAACTAGTCTGACTACTCTTTCATCCTCATCCTCATCTTTCTATCTTTCTCCAAGCTTGGCATAGCTAGAGAAAGCTGCTGCTGCTTTCTCTGATGTGACAGATAGTAATAATAGTTCTCAGTTCTGTGTTCTGACAGTCAGAAGAAACCTTGGAGCCAGAAACAGACAGGGAGGGAAATACATCTTACTTAGGTGCTGCCAACACTATGAATTTTATTAAAGGACATTGACTCATTCTACAGGGAAAGCCTTCCACGGGTGGCTGAGATAGTCATTGGGTAAAATGCTTTGATACCATTCCCTTCTTTGTGGAGGAGAACTTTGCTGCCAGACTCTGTAGGTTTAATTAACACATTCACTTGAATGGCAGAGAGTTGTTGTTTTCTTTTTTAGTTGGTAAAATACTAGTCTGGACAATTAACTGTTTAGTGAGAAAAATGTTTGAAGTAGTAGGTGGAGAATACAGAGCTGTTTTGTCTAAAAGTGAATATGCAAGATTCTGATTTCAAATCCTTGGGAGTTTCAAATATACTGACATTTATAGGATTTTGTGTATGTGTGTTTTGTTTGATTTTTAGGTGTACACCTTTGGTTAAAAATCCATGGAAGCAGAACGTATTCCTCTGATAAATTTCCTTTGTCCACCAGTTGTGAAACCTGGATTCTTTATTAGGTAGCAACATGTCTTGGAAATTCACGTGGTGCAAAATCATTATCTCTTTCCTTTATCATCTGTGTTTGAGGCACCTGTTCACGTAGAAGGATAAGATTTCCAACATCTAAAAGCTTTGCAGTCTCATTAAAGAGGCAAGAAGTGGTCTTAGAGTAATTTTAGATAGAAAGGAATTTCTGCCTTCTGTTCGTGGAAGATTCTCTTGAAAGGCCATTAAGAGAGTTGAATATAAATACCTGGCTGGTAGTTTGATAGCATCTGCTCTTGGAGCAAGACCAGTGGGAATCTTAGTAGGTAGAGAAGGGTTCATAGAGGAGGTGGCCTTTCATCTGGCTCTGACAACAAGACTGGTGTTGAAGAAGGAAAGTCTTAAAGACACGTCTGCCAGAGTGGGCAGCCTCAGTGAAGGCAGAGCAGGGCATGTGTGGGAAGGCGACAGAGCCAGCCTACCAAGACAGAAAGGTACCTTTGGAGAAAGTAAATTGAATGGAATCTGACTGAGCTGAATAAGAGAGGCTTGGTTGATGGGATTGTTTTGTATACCCACTGTTGGAGGGGCCTCTAGGTGCTCACAAATAACAAAATTGATCTTTGAAGATATAAACAAGTGTCATGGGACATACCTGAGTGGTCCACAGGCTCCAGATCCAAGCTTAGGGGATACATTTAAAAAAACTAAAAAAGAACCACAAACAGTTCCTCACAGAGATGAATTCTCTATGGCAACAGGAATAGCAATCCCTTGGCATAGCCGAAGGAGCACGTAGAGTTTATATATCATCCTTGCAGCATGGATATGATTCAGCCTGTGTACACAGACATATTATTTTGAACTGTCCTGATACTTTCACATTTGCATTAATCTTTATATGTAAATATAGATAGATCTATGTGACATAGGCACAGCACAGTGGTGTGAACTCTGTTTTTTGTAAACTTACAGAGAGAAGTAGGGCTCTGGGCTTAAAAGAGACAAGTGGGGAGAGAAGTGGATACTTTTGGGTTGGGTGCTTGCTATTGTTTTACAAGCCCCTGTGTTGAGACACAAGGTGTTGAGGACATGCTGGGAACAGGAAGCAGGCTATACATACACTGGCTGTTTGGGTTCTGAGTTAGGAACATGTGACCTGTCCCATCCTGTTATCTCTATGAGGGGAGTTGTCACCTGTCTCTCCTTGGCACTCATAAAATACATCAAACACGAAATGTACCCGGGAAAGCATTCTCCCCTGGGCATGATGGCCAAAGAATGAATAATAAGAAAGACTTAGAAAAAGTTACAGATTCTCCTTGGCTAGATGTCTGAATGAAGTGTAATTGGAACCAATTGAGCTGTTCACTTTGGTATCCAGATAGTTCAGTGATTTTTTTGGTTTCAGGCTGTGCTCTGATCCAATGGACACAATGTTGTAACAGGTTGTTTCAAGAGTGAGTAAAGGCTGGGCACAGTGTCTCAAGCCTGTAATCCCAGTACTTTGGGAGGCCAGGGCGGGTGGATCACGAGGTCAAGAGATCGAGACCATCCTGGTCAACATGGTGAAACCCCATCTCTACTAAAAATACAAAAAATTAGCTGGGCACGGTGGCACATGCCTGTAATCCCAGCTACTCAGGAGGCTGAGGCAGGAGAATTGCCTGAACCCAGGAGGCCGAGTTTGCAGTGAGCCGAGATGGCGCCATTGCACTCCAGCCTGGGTAACAAAAGCGAAACTCCATCTCAAAAAAAAAAAAAAAGAGTCAGTAAATACTCACTTGAGTTGTTCCTTCGACATACCTGGTGCATGTGGCAGCTTTGGTGAGTTGCTTGGTGAGTCCTTTGACCCTTCATTGAGGGTTGGGCGGGAGTAAGAGAGAAAAGCTGAGCCATCGTGGTACTGAGTACAGTGTGACTCACCATCCATTCACTGTGGGAGGTGGCAAATGCAATGGGAGAAGAATCAGGTACAGGTGGGTTACAGATGAGGCACATAGAAAGGGGTTGTTGTAAATGGTACATATTTTTTCAAATCAGTAGCTAGATGCCCATAGCAACTACTAGAATTCCTACAGCAACAGGATTCTCTGGCTGTCATCAAGGGACACTTCTAGAGGCAGAAGGGGGTCCCACGGTGATGTAAAGATTATCAGCCAGCAGCAGGATGACAAGGAACAACAAAGAACAGTACACCAGAGAAGGCATTTTAAGTGTGGAGTATGCAAAAGGTCAGTCTCTATTTCATGAACTGTGACTCTTTGCAGCTATCCTTGGAAAGTACTGAAGCAAGGTAGAAAATGGATTTGAAATTGTAGCAGCTGTAAAATGGACATAATAACTTCATAGATCACAGAGATAGCATATGGATTAAATAAGGTAATGTGTGTGAAGCCCTTGGAAATTGGATTTTAGTAACAGCATAGTCAACGTAGATTGCTGTTTTCTAGTCTGAGGTCCCTCTGGTTACTGTTAGAAAAACCAGCACTGGTTCCTTAGCTTCTGCAGAATCAATTCCTACCTCTGCAACTTGCCCTAAGCCTGTCTATCCAGACTTACTTAGATAAGCTATGCTTATTCTGTCTTGTCCCTGTCTATGTTATCACTTTGACGCATGCTGCTCCTTTTGTGAATAATGCTATTTTTGTCCATTGGAATGTTGTATTCATTCAGGTTCCAGGTGTTTTACCACAGTGTCTGGGAAGCATCCTTGAATTGGCTCCCACATTATTTTATCATTGGCTGCCTTGTGCATTTCTCATGATGTTAACCAGGTTCAGATTACATTGCGTGCTCTTCAGAACCAGGTCTAGATATTGCACTCTTTGCACATGCTAGATCAAGTGGCACAGCTGACATTATCACCAGGCAGAACAGGGTGTGCATTCCAGTTCGTTCAACTACTTATTCGACATGTAATTTCTAACAAGTCAGTTAATCCTTCAAAGCTTCAGTTTCTTCAACTATAAAATGAAGATATGAATCTGCCGTGCAGAATTTGTGTAAGGAATAGAGATAGTACATGTGTGAAGCACCCACCTTGTATATGGCAGGTGTTCAATAAATGTTAGGTATTATTATTAGTATCGATCCAATGAACTGACGTTTGTGTATTTGATGTACTATAGAACCATAGTGCTGAGTAATTTCTGTTCTTTGCAGTTATACAGCTCTGCTGAATTTGGGAGAAGGTGGCAGCTTATCCAAGAAGGGGTTGTACCAAACAGGTTCTACTGGTAAGTCTCACTTTATCTTGTAGCACATTAAGACATGACCTAGTCAGATATGACCTAGTAAATGGCCATTGGAGTCTTGTTCTCACCCATGTTCTCACATAAGGTCTGTTCTTAATGGGACATGCTCACATCCCCCTCAGGGCAGGATGTGATATTAGAGTAAGGAACATTTTAAGAGAATGTTAAAAAAAAAAATGTGTCACAGTCTTTCTGAAAAACCCCCAATAGATGATGGAAGTTAGTGAACTGCAGGGACTTTATGAGAATTGCTTTGTTACTTTTGGTGGAGACATTGAGACAGACATTTAAAAAATTCTAATAGTGACTTTTTTATTATTAAAACATATATACATATATTGCATAATCATATGAAGATTTTTAGTGTGAATAAGTAGGTTTTATTTACTCTAAAAGTAGATCTTCCTCCAATTCCTGATTTTAGATCTTCTAGGGCTTCTCCTTGTCATTAATTCATTAATTCATTCATTTATGACAGAGTCTCACTCTGTCGCCCAGGCTGGAGTGCAGTTTCAGTTCACTGCAACTTCCACCTCCTGGGTTCAAAGGATTCTCCTGCCTCAGCCTTCCTAGCAGCTGGGCCTACAGGTGCATGCCACCACACCTGGCTACCTTTTTGGATTTTAGATAGAGACTGTGTTTCACCATGTTGCCCAGCCTGGTCTTGAATTCCTGACCCCAAGTGATCCACCTACCTGGGACTCTCAAAGTGCTGGGATTACAGGCATGAGCCACTGTGCCCAGCCAGCCTTCTCCTTGTCATGTGGGATACAACTAGCATTGCTACCTTCTCAGTGATCTTTCTGAAATGTTCTGTGTCTTGCCAGACGTGTGTGTGTGTGTGTGTGTGTGTGTGTGTATGTGTGTGTGTGTGTGTAGTCTAATCCTGCTTGGGCTGCTGGAACAGAATACCAGAGACTGGGTGGCTTAACCAAAGACATTTATACCTCCTTGTTCTGGAGTCTAGGGAGTTCAAGATCAAGGTGCTGGTAGATTTGTTTTCTGCTGAAGATCCTCTTCCTGGCTTGCAGATGACTGCCTTCTGTCTGTGTCCATACAGGGTAGAAAGAGAGAGCTTTGATCTCTCTTCCTCTTCTTATGAGGGCATTAACCTCATCATGAGGACCCTATCCTCATGATCTAACCTAAACCTAATCACTTCCCAAAGACCCTATCTGCAAATACCATCATATCATAGTGGGTTAGGCTTTCAACATATGAATTTTGAGGAGACACAAATATTCAGTCCCTAATATATATAGGTAGAGATACTCACATTTATATAAATGGTAGCTATGCACACTGTTCTATGCCTTGTTTTTTTTGAGGGGATGCAGTTTATTATGAACATATCATTGTTTTTAGTTGGCTACATATCATTTTTCTCTAAGAATATAGGTTAGAGGTAAATCTTATGCCTATTAAAGCAAAACATAAGCTATATATGTTAGTGGGATGTGTGTATGGGAAAAGAGAAATATGTGAAGAGAAAGAGAAGGGGCAGCAAGAGAAAGAAAGAGACAAAGAAAATAGCAGCACTTCAGTTCGTCCCCCTAATTTAACTAGAGGTGGCTCTGTTCGTGGAAATGGGTGGGTAAAATTGTAAACAAGGAATATATTAGAAGTTAACTTTGGCTTTTAAGTCTCTAAGATCTTAGATTCTGGCAATGAAAGAACAAAGCACAGAACATTCTGGTGGATTTTTATATTAATATTTATCAGTATCCTTGAACATACATCCTACCTCCTCCAAAAGACAAGATTCTTTCTACCTTACCCTAATTTCTCTAATCTCCCTGTGGAAAAGACATTCAGGTTATTTCCAGACTTTTACTACTATAAACTGTGCTACAAGAACCTAGCTCAGACAAGAGTTTAAATATCCTTTATTCATGTCATTCAGAATTACTGTGACAGTGACCTTTTTGGAGCCAATGAGCTCCCTGCAAGGAAGGCAGTGGAAGTATCTCCTCTTGATTCCTCCTCAAATCACACTGCCTCTCATCAGCCTTTAGAGTTACAGGCAGAATAGATCACCAAGGTATATAATAGCTTCCCACCTTCACTCCAATTCTTTCGCTTTTATATGAACTTCTAAGAGGAATGCATTTTTATCTTTCTCATTTTCAAACACTGCCCTAAAACCCCTGTGGGAGTTGAAAGCCAGAGAACTACATTAGAGAAATCTCTTAAAAAGCTAGCAAAACTGCCTGAGAAAGTTAGACAAGCCATTTGCAAACAAACTGGCTAGGGGATAACACATAGGGACTTCTATATGGCAAGATACCACTTTTTCCCCCTATCATAATGAGACATTCATAACTAAAGGTTTTTTTGCATGAGAAGCTTATTTACCTCTCTCCCTCTACTGCTGTTGTTCAGGATTACATGAGCCTTGCTTCTAATGTCCAAATTGACAACTTCCGTCCCAGAAACTCAACTCTGTCTCTTACTGAATCTTCCTTTTCTGGTCAGAGTTTTTTTTCTCTCTCCCTTACTAATTTTATATCATATTCATGAGAAACCTTCATCTCTGTGTATTTTGTTTATAAAGTATAAAGTTAGTTTATGGAAGAGAGGGTTCATGTCTTTTTCTTTCATTCTCTCCTATTTTGGTGGTGCTATATGTACCTAGAAAGGCCTCAGAAAATAAGCAAATGAAGGACTGAAATAAATGAATGTTGTCCTCCTGGTTTGTCCTGAAAATGGAGTCAGCACTTTGCTAATGAAGAAGTCTGAGGGACAAATCTTTTCTCAGGTTCTACTTTCAAATCACTGCAAATATCTGTACATGATACCCAGAACTAGAGGGTAGGAAGTAGCCATTCAGAGGACTTGGCAGAAGTTGGTTCCTACCAATAGAAACAATGAAAAATACTGACTGAAAGGATGGTCAGGAAAAAGGAACTGAGATCAGAATATTTCCCATGTAAGTGGTACATATATACAATGTTTTCTGTTTCACCAGAGGTCTTATTCATGCATTATGATAACCTGAGCAGACTTTGCCAGTGCTTCCGCCAGTGTTAATTGCAGTATTTCCTTACCTAATCCTTGAAGAAGAGATCTTTGATGTGAAAGCTTGATTAGCAAAGCTCTTGTAATCAAATGCCGTAAAATTACCTTTATAAAAACATTACATATTCTTGTATATGAATTCTAATTGATCTGTTATGTAAAAGAAATAAAACCTCCTTTTGTTTTTGAGGACAGAGAGGCATCTTGCCCATTCAAGTCTTAATAGTGAAACAAGCACTACTTAAACGCAAGCTATTTAATCCTCATAAAAACCTTTTGAAGCACACTTTTCATTATTATCATTAACAGTTAGGGAACCTATGGAATAGAGAAGTAACTTGGCTAAGGTCACACAGCAGTAAAATGCCAGAGCCAGAATTCAAATGAAGGCTGTCTGTCACCAAAAGCTATGCTCTACTAAATTTGCAAATGCTGTTGTCTCTACCTCTAAGCCTTATGTTCTTGACTGGGACTGTGAGCCCTGGAAATCTAGCCCACTCAGGCATATGAATGATGAGAAACCAAAGTTCTTTTGACCACAGTGCCAACTGGGCTTGTCACATGGCTCATACGGATTCCTTAAGCTTGGTTGGTTTTTCTAGAGAAGGCATGGGAACTCGTAAATTGCACAGTACCATGACAGTCGACGAAAATCTCTTGGTCTTTGCCCATGTGGTCTGTATTTTCTAACTCTGAGAAACTACCTTAGGCTGGCAGAAAAGTTGTCAGTCAAAGCAATATTTATTAGATTAAGTTCTGGAAACCAGGTACTTTATGTAGGAACTACGGGGCTATGTAGGGTAATTCAGCAAGTATAATTAAAAGAAACCTCCTTTAATCATTTCTGCTTGGAGCCTGGCTATTGGGAGTGTGTATAGGACTAAAAGAGGGTTTCTCTAGTGTTAAATTATTAAGTTATCATGGGTAATAATATAACATTTCCCTAGAGAAGAAATGAAGACAAATTCATATTTTTCCCTCATCACCTAACACACTGAAGACAAAGTCATATTTTTCTCTCATCACCTAACACACTGATAATTATTTTTATTTCTAATAGCAATGGTCATGCCACCCCTAGAAGTAATAATTTCTGATTGTGAAATAAGCATGGCATGTAACAACTTATTCTTATGTTATCATATTGGTTTCTGGTAATGTTACCAAAGCACTAGCGGTTTGGTCAAGGGTCTACTGCACAAAAAGCCAATCACTGAGACAACAAGTATTGTCAAGGAAGAAGGCTTTAATCAGATGGTGCAGCCAAGCAGGTGAGGACTCAGTCTCAAATCCATCTCCTTGATTGACTAAAAGTATGGTTTTATATATCAGGAAATAAATGTAACAGTATGTAAAACAGGAATTAGGGAGGGGCAAGGAGGCATCTGGTGAATTTCAGTTCTTTAATACTTTATTTTTTAATACTATTTTTTTTTGAGAGGCTTGAAGATCCTTTCCTGAGGAAGGAACTCAGATTAAACAAATACAAGTTTTGAGCTTTAACAGCAGAGAAGTTTCAATTTCTATGTTTATCCAAAAGAACAGTATATGGGAATATTGAGCTGGTTTTATTAATAGTACCAGAGCAACCATAAATATGAAGTTTCCTCCAAGGAGTTCACATTGTTTCTAAAACTGATCTACATATATAGGACATCATTTAAGAGACAACATAATTTTACCATTAATGGAATTGGTGTTCTTTTAATTTAACTGGCAGTAACAGTGGTCTTATTCTTTCCTATGTAGAAAATCAATTATATTGGGAGGCAGTACAACTTGTGGGTTAAGGGGTTTAGGGACAGTAAGGTTTAATTTCTAGCTTTGCTATTTACTAAGTAAAAAAGTTATGGGGAAGTTACATAACTTCTGTGTGACTCAGTTTTCTCCTCTGTAAGATAATTAATACCTATTTCATCAAATGGGATGCTTTTTGTGAGTTGGTTACTTGCCTTGTGTCTAAG